TCTTTCCCTTATCGATATAACCTGGCTGTGGAAATGAAGCTTGCTCGAAAGAATTCTCCGGGAGATAGCGGCGGAGGAACGGGTCCGCTAGCTAAATGAATTTAGAGCGCATCAGCTGCTATGGATCTTGCTAGCAAAATCCTGTCAGGTACCCCATTTAAAGAAGTAAATCTGTTAAATGAATTAGACCACATGGAGCGCAGCTGCGGACAGACAGACGCATCCACATCCACATCCACCGCCGTGCCTTGCCTTTGCCAACAGCGCGTGCCCAACGTGGGTCCTCTCCTTCCTGGGAGCGGTCGGGGCTTTGCACAGGCGTGTGCGAGAGGCAGGCACGGTGACACCCGGCTCCCCCACCACCAGCGCTGCGGCAGGGGACTTGCCGGGGAAAGGAAGCGGAATAAAAACTTTGCAGGCAGCTTTGAAAACTTGGGCAGAAGTGGAAGGTGTTTTGTTTTGTTGTTTTTCTTACCCGTATTGTTAAATTTCTTTAAGACGCTTTGCTGCACGGTAGAGCTGAGCAAATGCAACTTCCCCGCTATTTCACCGACATTAAGATTCTTCCGTAACTACCAGGACAGTGTACACTAAATAAGTCTGTTGGCTCTGTATCGTATTCCCATCACATATAGATACTGCACCATGGAAACTTCGCTCCATTAACAGAGCGAGTTTATTTGGTGTGTGCGTACACATGTATGGGTGTGTTTGCTGGAGGCCGAGAGAGCGAGCGGCGGAGCTTTTTAGAGGATCCTAATGATCTTTGATGTTGACCATCAGGAAAGAAAAACTTCCGCAATGAGGAATCCGAGAGATCACAGTTTGCAGATGTAATCGTGATCCTGTTTTGCATTGACATTTGCATATGTATTTTTGGAGTTTCTATATAAATGCGTCCTTTGGGGGGGTGGTTGTCTCTGAGAAGTTTTGTGGATTGCTTGTGTAATTGTTATGTACAACCCTTTGTAAAAACTGCCTACTTGTGCTCCTGATGGAGAGTCTGTTGCAGGTAGGTGGCTGTAGATTCTAGGCAAAAATGTAACACGGCTTTTCTACAACAGCCAGCAAAAATTGTAACATTTTCTTAGACCAGCAGCACCTTTACGTGTCTAACGGGTGCTTTTCAGACTTGCAGAGCTCAATCCTTTAGTTGTGTTTTCCAGATTCCTGAAAGGGTTTGTGTTACATGGAAGGTGAATTACTGTGATTGCACTGCATATTCTTCTGTACCACTGCACAAGAACCTTTTTTGAATAGCTCATTAAAATGTTTATTTTACCCCATAGCTTAAATGGTGATTTTTCTAAGAAACTTGCTTTTTTTTTTTTTAGGAAAAAAAAAAAGGAATTCAATACACTGAGTTTTAATCTTCCTGAAAAATAGGTTTACGCTTGAGATACTTCGCAGCAAAATGAGAATCCAAAGTCGGGCATTTTCATCTCAAGGAGTGTTTGGAAGTTGCTCTATTTAGTCCTCTGCACCATGGCAGCAAAGTCTCATCCTCTTTTCACCACTGGAGGAAATTAACAGAATTCAGTAAAATTATTTGGGATATGTGCTGGTGTAAGCCAGATTAGCACCTGGCCCTGTAAGATATGTATTTGTGCAGTAGAGATTGCTCAGTCTTTTGGGTAAACCTTTCCTTACTTTTAAAGCAGTGTGTTGTTTGCCAGCGGTACCCGTACCCGGGCATCCCGGGAAGGGACAGCATCTCTTTCGGGGTGCATCTGGGTGGGTTTATGCTCCTTGTCACTCAGCAAATTGGTCTGAGATGTCTGCGTTTGGCCAAGTTGCCTCTTGCTGTAAAATGCAGGTACTCAGGAGATCCGGAGAGGTGGAGCGTACAGGGAGCATGTAGAAAAGCGGAGACTTTCCAGGGAGAAGCAGATGTAACGTGTGCTGGATCGGCCCGTTCTCTTAGGTGCTTACGGAGCAAAATAATGCCATTTGTTAGAGTTTAGGGGCTTCTTTTAAAGCATGTGTTAAAGACACTGGGAGACATATTTTATGGGTTTCCTTTAATAAGCGTACAATAGTTGAGATTCCTAGAAGGAGTGGAAATAAATGGCATGTTCCTTTCTGCAAAAGAGATCTATAGCCCTGTTTTAAAATCAGGAGGAAAAAAAAAAAAAAAGATCCCTGGTTTTATTCCTTGCTTCTAATAAAATCTGTCCCAGTGGCCTTCTGTACCCAGCCACCATGGCATCGCTTTCCCACAAAGTGACGGGCAGAGGTCCGTGCCGAAGCCGGGATCTCTTGGCAAAGGGTGGACACCTCTGCCGTCCCCGCGGGGCTGCCCGCGCCCCCAGCCTCCCTGGTCCACAGAAGATGGTTTCCTGTTGCTGCATCCTGTGTTGTCTGTGACTTCTTGTGGAGCACAGCCTGATGCGTCAAGGTGACCTTCTACATCCTGGCCACTGGCTCTTCTAGCCTCAGTTTCCCCTGCTACTGCTGGTGGCTCTTGCCCAGCTCCTGGTCTGCCCTGGGGACCAGCGGTTGAACTGGTGAGCACACTGCAATCCTCGCTCGTCTCTTGGGACTGGTGGGTAAAGTGGGGGTGGTTTTATTAACATTGTTCTGATTATTATTTTTTATGATCCTATTTAACCTTGGTTATCTGGACACAGTCAGTTTGTCCTGCAACCAGTTTCTCCCCTGCAAGAGAGTTTGTGCGCCGTGTTAGTGAGCTCTTTGTTCCGCTTCAGGGTTTTAAAGACCGTCCCTAGCATGGAGTTAGTTTTCCTTTTGAAACAACTGGTTCGTTATTGATCAAATGTAAATCGCACTTCAGGTGATGAACATCAGGGCTATGATGACCACAGCTTGAGTTCCTGAATAACGTAGTGCTTCGGAAATCAGACCGAGGACTGTCTCTACAGTCACCCACCCCATCAGACATGTGCGTGTTGGGCTTTGTGTTTATGGGCCGGGACCTACGTAGAGTAGAGATGTATGTGTGTACATATGTGCGTGTGCTGGAGGGGAAGAAGGTTTTTCTTCGTATATTTTGTGGCAGAACAATGGGTTGGTGGGGGAATGCACACGTACACAAGTGCACACATCCACACGTGCACACATCCATTGCTCACTCTCACAACTCTTCCTGCTGGGATGCACCACTTACGAGGCTGGTAAAATTTGGGGTCTAACGTGAAGTGACGCTTTGTTGCTAATAATAATCAGCCGTGACCATGGGAAATTGCAAGCTTAACATTGCTTATGAAATGATGAAATAAACCAGGTGGAACGTTTGCTTTCCATCGTGC